AAGTTTTCCTTCCCCCATTGACTCAACATCATGCGTTGGACGGTGCAAAGGTGTTCGGTGGGAAATCACTTTGATTCAGTGGAGCCGCCAAGCTCAGAACCAGGCAGGCTACCCATGCGGTGACAGGCTCATGAATCTCAGCCCCCCGCGGAGGAGGCGCGGGGGACGCCGTGTGCTGGGGCTCCACCCGCAGCTGTCCTACCTCGGTGCCCCTGGCTTCCTCGCACATGAACTAGACACAGAAAGATGAGCCACGAGGGTGGAGAGGGCAGTGACGTGCGACGTGGAGCTGCCAGCTCCTGGGAGGCAGTCAGATCACATTATTAATGTCGATTTCGCAGCACGCAAATGCCACCCCTCCCCCTTCCACTCCGGGGCTCGCCTCCTGCCTCCTCAGGAGGAGACGACGGAGCTCACAGGCTCATGATCGCAGGCCGCCGAGCCGAAGATAGACTCTCGGGCACGATTTCTCAATCCACAGCTTCCTGTTGTTTTTCAGTAGAAAGGGCAAGGCTCCTTCGGAATTCAGACTCTCCTGTTACACCAGGTGAGGTCAGCCCTGACTCAGGCTCTGGGTGCAGGACCCAATCATCTTGTGCGTTATCTGCAGAGCTAATGAATCCCCCCCACCCCCAGGGTGCAGAGAAAGGGGTTCAATACCTACATATAAGACAGAGCAACTTTTTAGCCTCTTCTAGCCTTGTGGCCACCGCTGAGCATCTTCGGCCATTCCACAGGGTCGAACAAGCACATCATACTCGGTGTCCTCTTCACGGTCACAGTCCTCCACCCCTTCCTGGCTTTCCCTGGAAACGCTCCCAAATTCAGGCTGCCACAGGGACCCTCATCTCGAGCTCTGCCTGGGAGGGAGCCACCCAGTCACAGGGGACTATGCTGCCACCTTTCAGCTCAAGGTGTGATGTCAAATCTTCCTCTGCATCTTGTTTCGTTAGTCGCGAGCCTCACTCATCATTCTCAGAAATGCTCCCTCCTGCCTTCCAACCAGCTCGGCTTTAGATTCTGGGCTCCTTTCTACTCATTTCTAACAGAGAGGGAACCGCTTCTCTCCTGCCTGTCACCTCTTTCCCCACCCAGAACTTGTCGTGGGATCGATGTTCGTCGACTTTAATTGGAGATATTTAAGAAGATGTACACATTCAAGACATAATTTCAGACTGCAATGGATTTTCTGACTTCCGATTGAACTAACCATTTCCATCGTTTGTGATCCTAAAAGCACAAATCAAACTTTTTCTACCTTTAATTTGGCCACCGATCAAACGTGTGTAATTTTTCTACAATCTTATGAAGAGTTAATTTTGCGTGTACATTGAAACAACAAAAGTCTTGATGTCTATATATTTTCAAAGCCACTCCAAAGAGAGCAAGCAGATTTGTGTAAAAGAATTTGCCTTCAATCGGCCTCAAGTGTTTGTCAATTGACCTCAAATACATAGTTGAGCACTGGGTCTCAAAGTCAGTACATTCTTTTGTGGGTGTTGGAAATTTTTATTTAAAAAACAAAACAAAACAAAATCGTCTTTTTGAGCTGAAAGGTCCAAATATCAGTACTCAAGATCAGGTGAATTGAACACTGGTGTTTCTCATTATAAAGAATGATAGAGAAATGTCTCTAGATGTGGAAATGTAAAAATAATTATTTCTTTCCATGAAGGAATGTGGAACTGCTTACATATTCATGCACGTAACTTAGGTCCCCGCTGAACTATCCTTAAGAGTTCATGTTGCCCATTTCTTTGACGCTCCATCCTCTTCATCATTAAACGTTTATTTTAAAATAATAGCATTAGGTAGTCATATGGCGATCGGATTTTAATGTAACTGTTGTTTGCCTTTCTTTCTCTTTGCCGTTTATTCCGTCACTAACATCGAGTGCAACTTTCCTTGCTATTGTGACCTTTGGTACCCGGACTTCATCAGACTCTTCAGGGTTATCCTTCCCTCACGCAGCGGCTGCGTTCCGGCAAATTTAGCCGTGAATCGAACATTGAATCTCTGTCAAGCGAATCCTGTTTCGCCCTCCATTTGAGCTTTATTTATTTATTCAACAACTGGCGGGTCGGCTTTCGGAGAGAAAGCACTTAACATGGTGTATAATGAGGCGGGATCGTTTGCGATTCGAGAGACCCGTCGGAGGGCACCGAACTGCTCACCTGTGCAGTTCGTGAGAGAGTTCACCGCAGCCCCGGCCCCTTCTGTCTGGAGCACGGCGAACGCGCTTTACGTTTCCCTGAGAACATTGTCAGGATGTGTCCTCTTTCTTAACACAAAGCCACTTTTGTTTGGCTCTGCCGGTCTTATCTGCCTTCTTCCTCTTACGCGTGCTCCCATTTCCTCTCGGCATCCCCGCTTCTGTCCCAGACGTGTCTCGCTCCCTGGGCTTCCGAACCAGAAGGAAGGATGTTACTCACCGCTCCTCATCTCGCCCTTCCACGCCTTGTCGTTTGCATTTAGCGTGCCGTTTCACTTAGCTGGACGTGGATCCATTTCTCTGCATCTGATCTGGGATGAAGCCCTCTCCGATTTAGGACTTTTTAAAAATTAAATTGATTGGGCCCACATTGGTAGATCAAAGCCCTCCCCAAATTAAACATGGCCTGATATTCTTTCTTTTTCACGTTGAGAGGGCCTCGCTACTCCGAGAAGGAGCCACCGACCAGCAGTGTCTCGTGGGAGCTTGCCAGAAATGCAGAATCTTGGGCATCGTGAATCAGAAATCTGCTTCTCAATGAGATCTGCAAGGGAATGCACATTAAAATGGATGAATTAAGTTCTCAGGTCTGAAATCATTTAAATGCCTCACTGTTTTGGAACAAGCACAACTTAATTTTAAACTGCTCGACACATAACTCTCTCCTTCCTCCCTCCCTCCCCTTATATCGATGACTAATTTGTTTATTTGGTGCCGATGTGGACTTTGTCCTTGTCTTTGACGTGGACTTCACGACGTACCTGAAGGTCATCTCGGTTTTGTTTCTCCTACGGATTTCAAGTTCTCTTACCCGTTTGACAGTTAAGAAGTTTAGTCTTACAGCCATCCTCATGCACGTTTACAGCACTATCATGTGAGCCCATCCGGCCTAGGAATCTCATTGGTAACAATTTGCCTACAAAGTAATTCTGGCCACTGACCCTCTGGGAGCACGCCCCCTAAACCCTGGGCCCTTGAGTCGTCCGGCACCTGCGGGTTCGCATGCGGGAGGCAGAGCTGCATATGTGCAGCTTGGGCACAGAGCTTGTGCACGGATCGGCCACCCGAACCCTTGGCATGATGGCCGACGCACAGATGCTCGCTCCTCATTTTTATCTTTAAAAGCACATTCCACGCACTACCCTCCAGAAGCAGCCTCTGCTTTGCGAGAGCCAGGCAAGAGGAGATGCACTGTCCAAAGCAGACAGGAGAGTTCGTGCTTTCTTAAGGACTGAAAAAGCAACATTCGGAGAAAGACTCCCAGAGTGTTTGCTACGGCTCTCACAAGCAAGTGTGTAATACAGAAGGGTGGCCAGGGCTTTGACAATGTCAGTCTGTTCTGGACTTTTATCGAAGCAGCTGCCCCGGCTCACAGATGGGTGGAGTCGGATCCTTTTGAAGTGGTGCTGCTTGCAGCCCTTTGTTGCAGGCCCTGCTTTCCATCTGGCAGTGCAGGGCCTGTCTGCCCTCCCCGGCCCCGCAGGAAACCCGTCCTCTGGTCTTCGGGAAGGAGGGGCCGGCGTTCAGCCCAGACTCTGCCTTGGTGCTTGGAGCTGCAAAGCCCGGAGGGGGGCGTGGGGGACCTGGAGGAGCGGCTGGGGTTGGAGGGCACATAAGCGTTTGCATTTAAGTGTCTAATGAAAAAAGACGGAAAAACCAGAGGGGGCCCATCTACTGGGGGAGAGGTCAAGGGTGTCTGCTTTGGGGTTGCCAGTCGGCCTGTTAGGATTGTGGCGGATGGTAAATCTGATGGAGCTGGCTTTCTTTTCTCTTCTGTCCTTCTCTCTTTTCAATAAAGCTTCGCTTGGTAAAGCCATAACCTGGAGGCGACTCTTTTATTGTCAACCTTGAAGAGCTTTTTATTTTGTAAACGTCACTCACTCGTGATTTAGTGTCATTAGTACTGATATAATTTTTGAAACTTTTATGCATATGGAATAAAGCATGATCGTCGATGCACGATGAAGTAAGTCGGAAAATTCCAGCAGTTAAGAAAATCTGAATAAAGTTGAATAACATTTTTTCCTAAACAGATTCACTCTTGAAAGCTCATGTAGAATGTCAAAAACGTAACCCTACAGCCTCGAGCTGAGTACGAATGGAACGGACCTGAAAAGGAAGGCGAAAAGGACGTGTGTGCGTGTGTGTGTGCGCGCGTGTGCGTGAGTGTGCGCGCGCGCGCGGTCTGGCTAGGCCAAGTAGTTTCTCCTTTCGTTAGGTTCTATTTATTGATCTCAAATGAAAATCTCGTCTCTGCGGGATTCTTTCCCTGAAGGAGGGACCATTAAAAAGCTCTATTTTAACACCAGTGACCCCAGTCCCAGTTTAGGAAGCGTGCTGCTGCCTGCAACGCATCAAAATTAGGGATGTCAGAGGGTCCATCAGGAGAAATCCGGCACATGAGGCTTTTCTGGAAGATCAGTGAGGACAGGGGGAGTGGGCGGGCGGGGAAAGCTCTAGATCCTGGAGAATTCAGCCCCGGAGAAAGCTTGGTGAGCCGGGAGAACGCTGACCTGCAGACCTCTGGCTCTTCCCACCCCTCGCCCCTCTCCCGGCCCCGCCTGTCTGACAGTCACCCTCGTGAGGCCTCGTGGCGTTTGCGGGAGGGTGCACAGCCCCCGCCAAGCCTGGCGCCTTTTCTGCCAGCGTGGGGGGTAGGAACGGGGGCGGGGGTGGGGGAGAGAGGCGCAGGGCACATGACGTCCCCCTCCCAGTCAGCCCAGCACATGACCCAGGCCGTCCGGCGGGGTCCCGGCTGAGACGTGGGACGCGTCCCCGAGCACAGCCCATGGCTTCCCCGCGCCTGGGGACCTTCTGTTGCCCCACGCGGGACGCCGCCACCCAGCTGGTGCTGAGCTTCCAGCCGCGGGCGTTCCACGCGCTGTGCCTCCT